CTTTGCACCCCGCTCCGGTGCGGGGGGAATATCGCTTAGTGATTCCGGAACAGGGGACTTGTGCAGTTAGGTGGCCTGGCGTGAAATGTCTCATACCTCGCGCAATTTTTGAGCCTCTCTAACTGTTGGCAGAATATTTTATTCACGGTGCTGATAGACACGGTTTTGTAAAAATATAAGAGACTAAGTACATTACAGCTGTAGCTAAAAACCCCAATTGAGAAAGGGACCTCGTTGCACTGAGTTCTTCATAAAAGCTACAGGAGTCACCGACAATGTATTTTTTAGTATGTTTGTTGATGTTGTGGAGCATAAGCTAAGATTTGAGATTTAGGACTCCCCAAATGCTTATAATATTCTTATGGCACAAAGGGGTATAGTTTAAATGTTTTTTTGAGAGTGAAATGTTTTGAAGGCACTTCTTGTGATGAAACGTGGTGTAGTGCGCTTTCAATCTGCACGATGTGTGGTTTCAGTGGTTTTTGTTGAAAGTGGCACCTCTTAGGAAGGGCCTCTTGGGAAAGTAGTTCTGTTATCTTGTAATGCTGTAGTTCAAGCAATATGACCATTGGTGTTCTAGCAGTGGCTGATACAACGCTCTGCTAAAGCACTTCTCAGTTACTAAAGCCCAAAATGTAATCTTGAGAAGCAAGACTGTAAGTTAGGAGAAAAGTACATATTATCTGAGACGATGGTTTTGCTCTTGACTGGCGTGTCCTCTTGTAAGCTTGCTCAGCCAAAGTAGGAGTGCTGAAAACTTCATTCTGTGCAGAGGTTAGTGCGGCAGTCCTGAAAAATTAGTTTAAACTTCTGCTAATACTAGTAGTTCTGAAAACTCTTGAAGTCCACTGAGGGCTTTGCAAGTGCCATAATCCTTTTTGGGGTGTTTACATACTAATGTTGATCTGCAGAATAAAACTTTCATAGTGCTTATAAACTACTCAAAAATAGTTTCTGCTGCTTCGTTAATGTTGAGAATTGTGGAGCTGATGTTCCATCCTGATGCGTAATCATAGGAACAACGTAAACTGGTGAAAACTTTCTCAGGGAGAAAGTCATTAAATGTCTAACCAAGTATCTGTGTTACTTTGATTAAAGGATCTTTGGTCAGAGAAGCACAGTCAGAACTAAATGCCCAAGAGAGGTGCCATCAAGGGGAGAAGTAAGCTTTCACCTGGGTTATACATAAAGTAATATTGCTTTATATGATCTCCAGTTTGGATAGTGGCTTTTAGAGAAGATCTTAAACTGCCACTGGGAGGAAAGCAAGAAATTAAGGCTTATGATAAAACTCTGTAGACTAGACACATGCAGTCCAAAACCATATAAAAGCATTAGTATCTTTGGGTTGAAGTATTGTTGTTGACTAAAAATAAAAACAAATTTTTAAAGTGAAAACATGTAGAAAAAAATCTCAAAAACAATAGCGAAATAGTTTTTTAGTATGTGCCTTATAATAAAGCATGTGCCTTAAAATAAAGGTCTAGAAAAGTGAGGGTGGATAATGTTTGAGAAATTAAACCATAATAGTTGGACCAGCAGTTGAGGGGCTTGAGGGTGGCTTATGATATTGTTATCAATGAAAATTGCCACACTACATGCTCATTCACTGGGCATATCTTGGAAAGAATGTACGCAGTCCTACCAGCTGGCTGACCTCTGCAGTTATATATATATATATATATTGCTTTTTGTAATGTAGATGTGTGAACAGTTTAGGCTTGTTCATTCTTCTGTATTTTAAGACGTGAATTAAAATTCTCAAATCTCACATGGCTGGCTTGCATTGGTTGGATGTGTTACTGCCTTGTGAATGGGGTTTGCTACTGGAAATTCTCACAAACTTTTATGCTTCGGTGATCATGTACCGCAGTTATCTCTCTGGCTTCACGCAGACACCAAGTGACATCCGTTTTCTGAGAAAAGTGAAAGTAAATTCCTTTAGTGAAACTTCACTCACTCAAATTTGGTCTTGTCACATAGAGGAGTTTTCGTTTGTCCTCTGCTGTTGCTTCTTTATTTGTTCTGCTTGAAGCTGATGGGGACAAAAGAAACCTGTGTATAAAGAGGTCGGGAACATGAACCAGGAGTTTGTATTACAAGTAATAAGTAGGTAATTGGACAGAGAGGAACTGAGTAGTTGGTAAGAAGGAACAGATGTATTTAAACTGAAAATAGGATTATGGAGGACTCTCTGCTGAAACTTGGGAATCCTTGCCAATAGTTAGGAATCGGCTTGATGATCAGCTAAGGGAATAATTGTGGAAAGATAAAGAGTTCGTAATACCGTACAGAGGTTGCTTCGTCCCTATTGTACCTCAGTGTTGCTTCAGACATGCAGGTTTTTTTCAGTGATTTTTCTCCTGCACATCAGCACGCCCCCAGTTACGTAAAAGCTGGTTATTCTCACTGCACACAGCTGTATCTGGCTGCAAGAGTTCAGTTTTAAAAGAATCCAGCTTTCTTAACGGAGGCTTAAACCTCTCTATCGGAGAGGAAATGTGCTAGCTGCTAGCTTAAATCTTAAATGCTGAGTTGCCAATTCGCAGACCTGCAACGTTTATACTTCTCGCAGCGAAGGCTGGCAGCACGGCAGTGCTGCAGCCACCACCGTACAGGACAATTATGTAACCAGAGATTGAAGTTTCCCTTTAAAATATTTAAAATACTTAGGTCAGAATAGGAAGGGTGTTTTTTTGTTTTTTTTTTTAGTCTACTCGTGTTTTGTGATGTAAATGTTTGATTGTGCTGGGTTATGATTTGTGGTTAGGTTTGGAAGGACTCCACAATCGGTGTTCAAAGATGACCTATTTGTAGTAATAATCCCAGCCTGGAGCAGCCGGAGAAGGTTTCACTAGTAGATCATGTTCTTCCATATCACCACTTAATTTGTTTCTCATGCCATCCTGTTTATGTACTCCTTCAGTTTCTTTATTTTTGTTTTAAACAGATCTCCTCATTCGCTTCCTTTAGGAGTTTCCTTTAAAATTTTTTTTTTAATTGTTTTTCCATCACAACTTTTCTTAACTATTATCTTCCTGTCAGTTGCTTACCATAGGCTGGATTAAGCAGTATTATTTGTGAGAGAATTAACTATTTGCGGTGTGTTTCTAGAACATTTCTGTGGTATCCATCACAACTGAGGAGTTGTGGGCTGGTTCCATGTACCTCTCTGGCTGTGTGTGTTGTACTGCTCTTCCTGTAATGTGAGGGAGATGTTGGGTTTAGGTACCGATTTCTAATTCATAGAGCACCTGCCAGTGCCCTGCTCTTAAAACACATCTATCCCATTCTTTCCAGTCAATGCTGTTTATTAAAGTAACCTTAAATGTGGCCTTGCTTTAATCATATATACAGCAAGCGTCTTTCTTAGTGTTAACTTTAACATACTGTTTTCATTAAACTTAATTCATGGATGATGAAGTTTTGCTTTTGAAACTAAACTGACACAAAAGCTTTGAAAGCCTCTGTCAGTTACTAGATATGCAGGTTTAAGTCAGAGAGATGAGTTTTAACAAAACGATAGTTTACATCTGCCTTTGATACTTGCTGAAGTTGGGAATTTTATGTCCATCCTCTGGCAAATGCCATTAGTCACCTAAAATAGCATTAACATTTTCCTTTGTATTTTACAGTGAAAGGCAAAGAACAAGAAAAGACCACAGATGTGCAAGCAATTAAAAGTAAGATCAATATTTATTTTGTCTATAAATTCAGATGTCTAATATCATCTGCCGGTTTTATTTTAACCAGTGGAATAATTTTCTTACGACTGAGCACAGATGCGACCTATGCATTAAAAATAAAACAAACCCAAAACTTAATTCTGTTTCTCAGTATTTATGGTCACTAATCTTTCCTGGTCATCCTGATGAATTTGTAAGGTTATTAAATTAAGTCAGACATGAACTTCTTTAATTCGAAGTGATCATGCAATTCAGTCACCTTGCAAATAGTGGTTATTCCTTATCTACAACAAGCTGCTTCTGAAGTTTCTTGCTTACATGTAGTGTACTTTGCAGTTTTGAAAATGCAGCTTAAGTGTGTCTAATTTGCTAAAGAGGCTGCCAGAGTCTGACTTAACTTTGACTGATGTGGCCTGCGAGACTGAAGATCTAAATCTTGGTCAGAATGAATAGCTGTTCTAATGCTGCTCCATGTGATACGGAAATCTTGCTGTAAAGTCTGTTAGGAGAGAGAAAAAAAAAAATCTTGATGGGAAAGAAGTTTATAAAAAGCAAGATTATTTATCCTGTCAGTTTTTATTGCAGTACTAAAAGGAGATGAGGTAATTTGTGTGAATCTATCTGTTACTTTTATAGCCTCAGACAAAATCCTGTTTCTGTACTTGTTTATGTGTTATCTGGGTATCAAGAGAAAATTAAAGGCTTTTTTCACCTTGGTGGTCTGTCTTTCAAATCAAATATAGGAAACAGTAAGTTGCCTCCGTTTCATAGCACACCCTGTGATTTCAGTGCAACTGAGGACTAGCTGAAAGAGGTTACATTACCTGTAAATAAAATCAAAAATAAATTTGAAAATTTAATACGTTACACATTGCGAGCTGCTGCAAACAGGGAGCATCTTTCCAGTTTGGCAAGCAGCTCTCCATGATCCGTATCATGTTAGGTTAGCAATGTAGTGCTGTCTGGAGGTTTTTGGAACAGGTGTTTGATCCTTAGATTAAGTAGAGCTATTTTTCCTCCAATGTTCAGAATATAAAATTAAATTGAATCTAATTCAGAAAAGCCTAAACAGTTACGAGGCGTGTAGCTCTGGTTCTACACGAGTAGCCTCCAGCAAGTTTTCCCCAGTTACTGTCATCAGCCAAGCAACTGGCTGCCATCCATTGGCCTGAGAAAAAATGTGTTTTCTGCATTATTGCTGGTATTAAATACCAAAGGCTTTGTAAGAGGCAGCAACAAGTGTCTTGGTACCAAACACTGCACCTGGAGAAACGCTTTGCAATAGCTTAAACATTTTAACTCTCCTTGTACCGTTGTTCCTAAGGTATCTGTTACTGTGACGTGCAAGTGTGAAATTGTCAACTTCTGTCATCATGTGTCATAAAATTGTCAATAAAAATAAAGTTATGCAGCATGAAAGCCATCAAAAGCAAGTTGCTTACACAAGTTGCTTGATGAAGCATGTTAGGAAGTAGTGTGCTGAGATCGTGTGTCTTCTGACTTGCTTTAAGAGTCAGAGGTGTAAGATGTCCTTGCATGACATCCTAATCAACTGCAGTTTCCTGAGAGCTTTTGAAACTGGTATGAGAGTGTTTTGGTTTTTCAGCTTTGTCATCAATTAACAATTAGTTGATGCTTTTTCACTGGCAGAGTTTTGTGTGAGGAAGTTCTTTTATTCTCTTAGGCCTCAAATAGCCAGCCATTTCTGAAACAGCTAGAGGAGGTTAAGGTTTATAACCTGGGTTTCATCAGAGATATTTCCATATTGCTTTTTTTCTCTTAAAACTGAATAGAGGCAAAGAAAATACTTTTGTAAAATATTCTTGTTAAAACTCACAGCTTTGTAGTTCAGGATTTTTTAACACATCTTAGCCTTCAAAAAGGTATCACAGAATCACATGGAAATGGGTTGGCAAGAACATTGCAACTGAACTAAACTGTTGACAAAGTATTAAGCTGTTACGTTAGCAGTTATCAAGGAAGCAGGAAGACCCAAGAATAATGTTTCATGTGTAAACTCAGACTTGGCATCTTTTGCTTATCTACTGAATGAGGAAAATGTAGCTGGGTGGGTACCACTGATGTGTCAGAAGTGAGTTTATTCTCGCTATAATAAAACTTGTTTATTTCTGTGGTCTCTACTCTTAACAGATCCTTGATGAAAGATGATACACAGTGGTACAATGAGGCTTTTAATAAGGTTGACTCTTGCAAACTCTCTGGTATATCTTGGGGTGCTTAGCATTGGGTGCTGCTTAGAAGAGGTCTTGGGAGCCTTGTCTTTTAATCATTCATCTCTTGATTCCAGCTCCAATACCGGTACATTCCCCGCAAAGAAGCACTAGAAATCATGCCTTGCTGGAGGCTGCAGGACCAAGCCATGTGGCAATTAATGCCATCTCTGCCAACATGGACTCTTTTTCTAGCAGTCGGACAGCTGCCCTTAAGAAGCAGCCAAGTCACATGGAAGCTGCTCATTTTGGAGACTTAGGTAAGGCTTCATCAGCTCTATAATAATGTCGCTCGCCATCCTTTGGTTTTCAGGTGAGTAGATTAGGTAATTAAAAAATTTGACTGCTGTTACAGTAGCATCTGTGTTACCCTAGAAGGGTTTTGAATGGGGTCGGTACATTTGTTTGTTAAAAGAGATTCCTTTACTTTGTGTAACACAAAGATGTTGGAATCGTCTCTTCACCAGTTGCATTGCAGGACATTTTTGTATCGAATACCCGTGTCTGTAGTACAATATGGAGTCATTCCCTTGATATTTTTCTTTAGGCAGATCGTGTCTGAATTATGAGGCTCAAGAGACCAAATCAAGCCTTTCAAAGACCCTTGAACAAGTTCTGCAGGACAATGTAGCCCTCCCTTATTTTATCCAGTTTATGGAACTACGCAGAATGGAACACTTGGTTAAGTTTTGGTTAGAGGCTGAAAGCTTCCACTCCACAACATGGTCCCGTATAAGAGCACATAGCCTGAACACAGTTAAGCAGAGTTCATTGGCAGAGCCAGTGTCACCCTCAAAACAGCAGGAAATTGCGTCGTCTTCTCCACCTGGATTGCTTGAGGAGAGACTGGAGGATTCTAGCACAGTCCATCTGCTCAGGACCAAGCCAGTGGCTTCGGACAAGAATGACAGAACTGGCAACAGCCAGAAACATGTGCTCTTGGGTCAGGAGAGTGATAATATGAGTGTTCTTTGTCTAAGGAAGTCTGAGACGGGGACCCATTCTCTTCCAGCTGATCAGCAAGAATCTTCCAAGCTTACGGTATCAGATAGAAACAGCCCCTCCTCTGCACTAAAAGACTTGTCAGGAAAACTAATGAAAAGTAAGTGCCATGTATTCCCTTCCTTTAAAAACATGGGGAGATGGGGAACATACTATCTGCTGCTTGCGTTGTGTGGTGAGCAACCTCAGTTTTCATGCGATCTTAGTATGATATGATGTTGTGAGGAAGAAACTAATTTTGTATATTGGTAATGTTAACTTGCTGCATAAGCTAATGGTCAATTTGTGCTATGTGTTGTTTGACTGTCTGCTTGTTTAAATATACTGCTGAAGAGACTTCAGAATCATTATGTGCTCTAATAAGCTTAGGTTACTTCTGTTCTTACATGTGTAATCTTAAGAAATGAAGATGAACATTGCAATGTCCCGTTCTTCCCTCACCCATCCCAGCTTAAAAGAATTGCAGAAAATTTGGATGATGGGGCTGAGAATTGATAATTAACTTACTGCAGAAGGTAAATATCCTGTATCACATAAAATGACATGAGTAATGGTTACAAGAGACTTGCAGAGATTTTTGCGTGGACCGTACTGTTTTTGTTCTTGGATTTATTTGATAGAGTTCCTCCCTTTGTAACTGATTTGTTCTCATTTGGATTCCACCTCTTCAGAGGCTACTGAAAGTAAGGATGCAATTAAAATATTTACTTTTGGTAGTGAGCTACATGCACAGTAACTTGTTTCTCTACTTTGCATCTACTCAGTCCTCCCTCATTTGTGCAAGTCTACAGACAAAAAGGAAACACTCCTTTCTTCATATTGGTTCCTTTTTTTTGCCCAACTGTTTCCTTGTGTTGCATCCCTTTCTCTTGCTGTTTGTCTTTCTCATATAGTTATTTATCATGTACTTCCACAATACATAACTTCAGCTCCAAAGTAGCTTAAACAAATGCAATGATGCTTCAGACATGAAAAGTACCTCTGCTTTCTGACGTCTAAAAAGAATTTGAAAGTACTAGGTCTTTTTTGAGAAATCTGAAAAGTCTGGAGTGTAAATTTTTCTCTCTTCCACAGCACTGTCCCAACTCTCAAAAGATGACATTTCAAACTTACATCTTTTTCCAAGGCATCTCATTTTAAATTTTTTTTTTCTTTTAATTCCTTTATAATGCAAGTGTTTTATCTATGATGAGAGCTAGAAATTGGGAACTTCACTGCAGTTCTTGTCAGAAAGGTGTTAACTTCTGGGACTAAGGTGTGCAGCTGAGGAAGAGGGTGCTGTCGTGTCTGGTGGTAGGGAATTGAGAGCTATGTTGCTTTATTCCATCTCACTAGTCAGTCCATGCTGGGCTTACTGTGACCTGGCTGGGGATAACACAGTCACTGTAGCTTGTCAGTAGCAAAGTATCGAGTAGTGGACTGAAAGCTTGATGGGAAAGAAACTTGTTGCTGACAATTGCTTTTCTGAAAAGCAGGTGTTTGTTATTCATTCCTTGTTTTAGACCTGTGCCAAGGAATGCAAAGTTTGATTCTGTATTTCTTCCTTGTAGGTATAGAACGGGATGCAGTTAGTACTTTTACCAAATATATTTCTCCAGATGCTGCTAAACCAATACCTATTACAGAAGCAATGAGAAATGACATCGTTGGTAAGAATGTATACTGCCTACTCATTTCAGAGCTTCTTCCTTCCCCATAAAAATGTATCCTTAATACCACACACACTCATGTTTCTTTTTATTTTTATGAATTTTAAAGTCAGTTGTGAAAAGATAGTAAGTCACGTTACAAGAACCAGTGAATCTGACCTTTCAGTAGTGCTGGGCAATATCCCCAGAACTTTCAGAGACTTTGCTTAAATTAGTGAAAGGATTCCTGGTGGTTATGGAGGGAATCCAGATTTGCGTCTCAGTCAAATATTTTAGCCATACTGTTATCATTCAGCTATCTGCAGTACTTTAAAAGCTCTTTTTGCGCAGTCAGAACGAGGTGATTCTAATGGATTTGAACTGCAGTTTTTCATTAACTAGATATCACTCGTGGCTTTCAGCTCGATCAGCCAAATGCATGTTAAAATTAACCTGGTCTTTCTTTGCAGCAAAGATTTGTGGGGAAGATGGACAAGTGGATCCTAACTGTTTTGTTACAGCACAGTCAATAGTGTTTAATGCAATGGAACAAGAGTAAGTTGATTGAATGGTTTGACTTCTTGTGTCTGTTGTCCTTTTGCAAAAGGTGGTTCTGTTAAAAATATTTATGGAGGTATAACTGTATAACCATTTTTTTGTGCGGTCTTCTGTATTTGAAACTGCTCATATCTCTTCCTCTAAATCCATTCTTGTGATCACTTACTGAAGTTGTACGTGATTGCTGTTATTGCATTCTTTATATCTTTCTTGTGTCACTTGTAAACCTGCACCATTTCTTGCTTGTTTTGCTTTTATTCAACTGAAAGTGTAAGACTTCTGGGGCAAGAACTAATTGGTTCATAAGGTGCCTTGAATGCTGTTGATGCTTGATAACTAATTGTTATTCTATCTGTGTGCAGGCACTTTAGTGAATTTTTGCGAAGTCATCATTTCTGTAAATATCAGATTGAGGTGCTGACTAGTGGGACTGTTTATCTGGCTGACATACTTTTCTGTGAATCAGCCCTGTTCTATTTCTCTGAGGTGAGTGTTAGGTTTTGGGTTTGTTTTTTTATTATTCCTTTCTGTCAAATGGAAAAAAAACCTATTAATTCCCTGATTGCTCTAATAAGGACACCTCAAATATAACCCATATAAATATAATATATAATATTATATA